ATTCATTATCACTGCCTTGGCTTCCTTGAAAGAATGAGTTAGAAAAAGAATTCTTTTTTTTAAAATGAGTTTTAAAAAACATTTGTTGCTTATATTTTGTTATGATCCAATAGATACTTTCTTTTTTTTTTTTGATTAATTAATTTATTTTTAGTTTTCAACAATGACTTCCATAAGCTTTTGAGTTTTAAATTTTTTCCCCTTCCCTTCCCACCTCCCTCTCCAAGATGGTGTACAATCTGATATAGGCTCTACATATATGTTCCTATTAAACATATTTTCACATTAGTCATATTGTAAAGAAGAATTAGAACCAATAGGAGGAACCACAAGAAAGAAGAAAGAAAACAAAACGGAAGGAAAAAAAGAGCAAATAGTATGCTTCGATCTCCATTCAGACTCCACAGTTCTTTCTCTGGATGTGGATAATAGCATTTTCCATCATGAGACCTTTGGAGATGTCTTAGATCCTTACATTGCTGAGAAGGGCTAAGTCTGTCAAAGTTAGTCATCACGTAAGATGGCTGTTGCTGTCTATAACGTTTTCCTGGTTCTGCTCACTTCACTCAGCATCAGTCCATACAAGTCTTTCCAGGTTTTTCTGAAGTCTGTCTGCTCATCATTTCTTATAGCACAACAATATTCCATTACATTCATATGCCACAGCTTGTTCAGCCATTCGCCAATTGATGAGCATCCCCTCAATTTCCAAGTCTTAAAGGAAGCCTGGAATTCTGAGAGAAGGGGAGGAAAGAAAGCATTCCAGATATGGGGGACAGCCAGTGCAGAGGCACAGAGATGGCAGATAGGTGAGTAGTGTCTGTGAGAAACAGGAAATAAGTCGGGATGGCTGAACCAAAGAGTGCGTGGAGGGGGTGAGGTGTAAGAAGATCAGAAATGGAGGAAGGGACCAGGTTGTGGAGAATTTAAAATACCAAACAGAGTTTGTACTTAATCCTAGAGTGAGAGGAGCCTTTATTTGTTTATTGAGTAGGGGAATGACATACATGTACCTGCAGCTGAGGAAAACCACTTTGGGAGCTGAGGGAAGGATGGACTGAAGTCCAGTGTTTGCAGAAAACAGAGGCGGAGCCAGCAGAAAGAGTCTGGAGATTAATGAGGGAGAGTTAAGGAGAGTAGGGGCAGTATGTTGGAGAAGACTGGAAGAGCTGAGATCCAACCTATGTGAAGAGGAACTGGCCTTGCAAAAAAGGACCATGTTTTCATCTGGAGACAGAGTAAAGGAGGAAATAGTGGGGGATGAAGGCAAAGAGTGATGAGGGGAGGAGGAGGGAAGAGGAAGCTCTTGGAGAACACTCCATTTTCTTCAAAATATATGAGGTGAGGGCTTCAGCAGAAAGGTCTGGGTGATGGGGAAGCTGTGGGAGGCTTAAGAAAAGAAGAGAAGTTTGGAAACAGCTGTTATGGTAATCAGGAGAGAGAATCGATTAGACAGGAGTAAATTATCGCCCCAACTAATTATTGGGCACATATTTTGTTTCCAGCTTTTTGTTATTACAAAGAATTTTTGTATGAGTTTTTACAAGTGGCACGAAATAATTGCTCACCAATGAAGTGAGGTTTCCTGGAACCTCTGGCTCCTTTTACTTTTAGTCTTTTTTCTACTAAAAGTCCACTAATAAGAATTGTCAAGCCATTGAGATTATGGCTTATTAAATAGAAATATTTTTCTTCCTGTGATTCTTGGGGGATATAATAAATGAATGCATAACAATCATATTTGATCATTCATTATTAGATTTATTGTTGGTACCAGATTGTCATCATTGGAAGGTTTTGAAAATGCTAAGTAATTTTTTTTTTGCTGGTATTGTGTTCAATTACTCCTTTTCTTATTTTCTGTCTAATTCACAAAAGAAAAGTGCCATCGATGATGTTTTGCAGGCTCATGTGTGTTTTCAGCATGTCTAATAATTTGCGAGTAAGATACTTATACCCAAAGAGTTTACTTGCTTTTTTAGCTCCAATTCTGTGGTAAATGATTTTAATGTAATGGGAAATTCCTGTGGTGTGGAATTTAGCAGTATTGGACTAAGCATTGTTTTCTTGTCTTTCCGTTTGCTGTGAAAAGTGCACTTTTATTTCCTCAGAATCTCCAGCAAACTAGTTTTGACAGTCTGAAAGTTTAGTTTTTTCCTAAAGTGTACAACACACTATTTCTTAAATTAACCTGGGTAACAACTGATGGTTGATGGGATGAGGAATGCCTCCCTACGTCTATTCATTTTGAAGAGAAATCAGTGAAGATGGCACTTTGGGAATGTGATGCTTCTAACGCCACATTTGTCATTCCAGCACTCGGGCATTGGGGGAGCAGTGGCAGGCAAGAAGAACAGGACCTGGAAGAACCTAAAACAGATTCTTGCTTCGGAAAGGGCGTTGCCATGGCAACTCAACGATCCTAGCTGTATGTGGTTTAGATACTTTGCATGTGTTTATAAATAATATGCCTATAAGTAACTGTCTTAAAACAAACCTAAATTTTTTGTGTGTGTCTGCACCATCACTGATAAACACATTCCAATTTTAAAACAGTGCAACTGGCAAACTTCTCTTTCTTTAGTATTTTATAGCAGTGGCTTATAAAGAAGATGTGTATCTTCACATGGAGCTACAATGTATGTAAAGTGTTTGGTAAAACTTAAAGCATTATATTTGTGTCAGCTAAAACGTATGCCTACATTTATGCATAGTTGTTTTGGGGCCCCAAATAACTGATTACAAAGAACATTTGCTACCTGCTCTTTGTGTAGTGGCTAGTGAGTTCTCTGTCACTAGAAGTCTTTAAGTGGAAGAAGGCTGCCTTGTTGGGAATTCGTGCTCTGAATGAGGGTTAAAATAGATAACTTCCAAGGTTGCTTTTGACTTTGTGTTTCTGTGTTTTTGTTTCGTTTTTTTTTTGGTCACACTTAACATTTCATTACAGACTAAGCTAGTATGTGCTGACATAATGTGGCTCTATATTACATGAGCTTATTTTAAAAATATGTTTTGCTCTTCTATTTTGTTCTAAAATAGAGTGGAACCCTACTTGAATGGATATTTTGGAGCATAGATTGACTCCCACCTTGGACAATAACTATATTATGTCAGGCATAGGCTGCGTGTAGTGGATTTGTCCTGGAGACATGACTTAAGCTGTATTATGTTTAGGTCTAAGTAATAAGATGTATTATGAGACTCTCTTCTACCACTTTTGGAAATACAGTATAAACAATAAACTTATATTGTTCTTTACTCTATTTGTGGCTCTCTGCTAGGGCATTTCTTCCAACAGAACTTAAGTTGAAGCTGCCTATAAGACGCAGGTAGCCGAATGAAAATTAAAACATGCAGTCATGAAATGTCAAACATTCTGATGTTTTAAAACATCTTAAAGACAGATTCTTTTTTTTTTTAATCATACTTTGAGCTTATAGTTTAGCTAGAGAGAATGGGAGAAGAGATTAGAGTAGCAGATCTTTCTCATCTCCTGATTATAGTAGTTTTGTAGGAATATGGGAGTGCAATGTGCAAGAGCAGAACCAGTCTTGGATGTAGCCCTTAGTGAATCAGTGCATAATAACTGGAGAAATTTCATGGCTATCCTAGCTCGTATGCTTCCTTCACATTTTTCTTAGTCCCTAGAGAGTCCTATAAGTATGTAATAACTTAACTAAATTTTATAAGTCTTGTTAATTATTTGAAAAGTGCTTACGTCTTTTTTTTCCCCTTTTAGACTTCAGTATAGATGCTCCTCCTTCCTTTAAACCAGCCAGGAAGTATTCTGATATTTCAGGACTTATTGTAAGTATTAATTGATGTCTATATCTAAAATTGGCAAAATTTCCTGAGAAGTATCTGCTTGGACAGTCCATCTTTCATGTGTGAAAATGATATTGTTGACTTTGCCAAGAGGACATTTCCTTTGAGTAGTGTTTCTGGTAGTCATGTTCTGCTCTAGTGCCTTACCATGGAGTGGGGGCGAGGCTCAGCTTTTGAAGACTATCGCCTAGAAGCAGATCTGGAAAGGCTTTGCGCCTAGCCTCCGTGATGAGGACCAGCCAAGCTAAATTTAGAGAGCCTGGTCACCAAGAAGACTGACCACTAACTAGGTGATGAATTTTTTTTTCAGCCATAGCGATTCATGAAACAGCTTACTCAGGCATAGGCGGCTTCTTGCATCTTTGGAGGGGTATAGTCACATAATTGACCTCACAGATCCTCAAAATATTAAAGATGGGTGGAAAACTGAATCATTCACACCTAAGGCTTTTTTGGTGACAAACCACATGTTTATAAGATTGCCCTAACCATGAAAGGCAGCCCAGTAGAATGCAAACAGCATTGCTCTAAGAGACAGGAAACCTGTTGTTAGTACCCTCTTCACTTACCGACCAGCTGTGCACCCTTGGACGAGTCATTGTAATGAACTGGGGCAGGGCAGTGGAGTGAATAGAACACAGGACTTGCAGTCAGAAGACCGGGGTCTGAAACCTACCTCAGACACTTTGTAGCCAAGAGACCATGGAAAAGGCACTTAAACCTCTCTGAGCTTCAGTTTTCCTCTTCTGTAAAATGAATAAGTCAGTTAAGGCCTTTGGGTCTCCATTGCTTCAGCTGTAAAACGGGAATAAGAATAACTTACCCACATGGAAACAAAGACCTGAGCCAGATCATCTTTTAAGGTGCTTTTCGGTTCTAAGATTTATGATTCTATGGGGTGTTATCCAGAGGGGTAAATATTTGTAGAGGGGGTAGCCATGCCAGAGATCATCAGACTTCCCTGTACATTACATTCAGCAAGATAGCTCCCATTTGCCTTTCGTTTTATTGATATATTTTATTTGACACAGGAGATAATCTCAGCAACCATGCAAATGCCCCCACAAATTACATTACTTAAAAATACTTAAGTTTGAAAGTGTTAATTAAAAAAATTTTTTTCAGTCAGTAAGCATTTATTAAGTACTTGCCATGTGCCAGGCACTGTGCTAAGTGCTTGGATTACAAAGAAAGAAAAAAACAAGCAAACTAATGCCTATCCTCAAGAAGCTTACATTCTAATGGGAAAGAGAATGGGTACATAAATAAATCTATACCAGATATATAGAGAGTAGATGGAAGGGAACCTTAGGGGAGAAGACCCTTGTAGCTATGGGGACCAGGAACCTTAGCAAAATCACTTAACCTTGCTGGCCTCAGTTTCCTCATTTACAAGAGGACCTGTCATGTTCATCTTTAGAAAATTACTGTTTGTTAACAGAAAGGAATTATACTTCTAACTTTATTAATTTAGTAACAATATTATCTTGTTTTTTTACCTAACTTTTGTAAAGCTATATATCTTGGTCATTGCCATACATTTAGTGACCTTTTAAATCATTTTCTTAGTAGGAAAACAAGTGCATTATTGCATTGGCATTGCTCATTCAGGACATTATCTGGCTTTTATTAAGAGAGTATTAAATCCTTTTTTTAAAATCAGCATTTCGGTTATGTAGAAGACTAAAGAACTGGACCAATTATTTTCGAAATGCATGCTTGTTATTGTTGAAGTTTTTAAAAAGCTGTTACCCTTTGAATATTTGTGGTTTAGATATTTAAGTTCCCTAATGGGATATAGCATATAATATGTGGTGAGAAAAACACTGGTCTGGGAGGCAGGAGATCCAGGTTTGAATCCTCTATCTGTCACCAGTGACCTCAGGCAAGTCACATAGTCTTTCTGGGCTGTGGTGTTCTCATCTGTAAAAGCAAGAGATTAGATTAGATTATTTGTCAGGCTCCTTTTTAGATCTTTTTGAAATTTGGCTTTTTAACCCTTTACTATTACCAAAGAAAATGGAGTAATCCAATTTGTTGTGTAGATAAAAATTATTCATATTCTTTAAATTTTATGTCTCGCAGCAAAATATAGGCATTCTGTTTCCATAGGAACTGACCAAAATACATACATAAGCTTCATATGTGATAATACATCTCTGTGGCATTGATTTTGCTTATAAAAATCTTTGTTAGAACTTAAGAACTAATTAGTTATTATTGCTGTTATTCTTATTATAGTTGCCCCGAGAAAGCAGAACACTTCACAAAAATATCTTAAGTATTTAAAAGTGACAAGTTGTGAAGTCTGGATCAGGGCTTTTACATCAGAGTTTTAGGACTCTGGGTAGAGCAGACTTAGAAGGGAGTTCTTCTTTTAGGCTAAACCCTAACCCTAGGTTATCCTAACGAAATGGTTTTTGAAATCTTTCTCATTAACATTTAAGCTAAGGGTCTATATTCATTTCAAGAAGTGTTTATTACTAAGCGCTTTGGGGAATTAGAAGGAGAAAGACACAATTCCTGTCTTCATGAAGCTTATAGTCTGGTAGGGGAGATAGTATGTATGCCAGTCATTATAATTCAAGATATGATGTGAAAATGCTTTGTGAGATGGATGAAATGCTCTGTTAATTCAAAAAAGGCCAGGGGATGTAGAAAACAATAAAAGAAGTGACAATTAAACTGTACTTAGACACACGGACAGAAATTAGGCAGGTGGAGTTGTCCAATATATCTTACTAATTCAGCTCTTTTACCAGCAGCCATTGTCATAATTATTAACAATCATATAACTGTCCAAACCTGATATGATATCACAAGTGAAACAGCAGTATGTCTGGAGCCAAGAGTTAGGAACACATGCATACAAAATAGAATTGTCAGACATGAAAGTCTGTGTCCACATCTTGGGTCCTAATATTAAGGGGAAAATAAATTCTACTAATTAGCTAGTGAAGCTATAGCATACAACTAGTTACCTTCAGTAGGGAGTAGTTAATATTTCTCCAGTTAAGCTCTGCTTAATATCTGTTTCATGAAAGGATATTAGAGAATGGTGAAAGAAGAAACCTGGACCCAACAAAACCTTAAACCAACATTTTTTTCACATGAAGCATTCATAGAGCAGTTTGTATTTGGCAAAACAATGTAAGTTTGATATTTGTCACTGTTGCCCCATTTTTCATATAGGGTATAGTTGACACAAAGAAGCCAAGTGATTTAAGCAGTTTGAGGAACATTCTCAGGGGTTGAAGAATAGACTTTTTATTGATTGAAAATCGTGGGTCCTTAATGGTTTCAGCTCAATTATTCCTTTGTCAGCTAAATTACTCTTATCCTATATTCATGCACAGATAATCTACATTGGAGCAGATATTCCATGCATGGGGAATTGGAAGTTAACAAACTAAAATTTTTAAACCTTTTATAAGTTTTTTTTTCCCGGAAATGAGTTCTGGATGACATGCTGTATCTTGAGATCTTCAGGAGAAGCTCCCTGTGAGCTAGATAGGAAATGGGTGTTATCTCCATGTTGCAGATAGTGAAGCACAAGCAGAAAGAGGGGAGGGACATGATGTATATGGATGGGGAATAAAGATCTTAGTCATAATGGCTTCTTATTCTGTTAATGAGAAGCACTGCTGGAAGCCTGTTTGTAGTTTCTTCCTTGCAAGGCCCTAAGTGATTAACTAGACTTGGGTGGATTAATGAATCTCTGCCTAAGCGAACAATTTAGTTCTTTCTCAGTGGCAACATAAAACATTCATGTATATACATTCAACTTTTAAAATAATTTATATTTTAAAGATAATTTGCACTTTTAACTTTTTAATATAGATATTTCTATGATTTATATTCATCATTAATATTTCTCTTCCAGGCAAACTATACAGATCCACAGAGCAAGTTAAGATTCAGCACAATTGAAGAATTTGCTTACATTCGGATGCTCCCTTCAGATGTGGTTACAGGCTACCTGGCCTTGAGAAAGGCCACAAGCATAGTTCCCTAAGCTGGGGGAAATTTCTCAGAGGAAGCATGGAACTTTTTCAAAGGCAGACTTTGGACTCAAGATTTTGTTTCCAGGAAACATTCATATTGTTGTCAATCTGAAAATGCCAGTATTGTGCCTTGGAAAGAATGTTTGGTTTTTAATATAATGTAAGGTTTTTCTTTATTTGCTTTTTTAAAAGTTTGACATTTTCAGCTAAATTAAATACTAGCACATTTTGGGTTTGCCCAAAGTATTTGACAAGGAAAATGTAATAAAACATCACTTTTTATTTATTTCAGTAGTTGGTGGAGCCCAAGCATTTCTTTGAATTCTTGCCCCCCAATACATGCTAGCTTTCTTATATAACACCATAACATTCTCTATATAATTAAAAATAAGTATCATTAATGCCTTTTGTTTTATAGCAGTCGTTTTTGTATATTATCTTGCCTCCCTCCCCCAATTGAAACCTTTATTTTGACAAAGAAAACCTGGTAAGCAAACACAGTGGACACACAATGACCACAGCTAACAACATATCAGATATTCTGCCTTCACAGGCTCCCACCTCCACCAGGATGGGAAAGACATATTTCCTCATCTGTTCTCCTGAGATATTACTGGTTTACACTTGTTCAGAGCCTGGCTTCCCTTTAATGATCTTTTCATTTCCATTGTTTTAGTCATTGCATTGGGACTGAATACCTTCTTAGTATTTTCTCTTGAGAACACTGTCTTCTAGTTCTCTACTTTGATGGGAATGTAGAAAACTTTGAGATGATCTACAACAGAGATGTCAAGCATGCAGCCTGCCAGCCACTGCCCAGAACACCCACAAATGCAGCCTGGACCAGATTAAAATTTAATTGAGAAATATTTAGCAAAGTAAATGAGAACAAATAAAATGTAGATAACATTATGTTTTAAAGCCTAAGTCCAGAGGTAGCCGGCAGTGGATCTTCTGTACAGATCTGGACCATTTGAGTTTGAGTGTGACACCACTGATCTAGGGTAGAGCCTTAAAGATGATTAAAGAACTAAAAACTAGGAATGAAAGAAATGTCCAAAGCAGAAATTTAGCAGGGATCTGAGGTCTGTGAACTTCATTTTTAACTTTTTTAATATAACTGATATTTTGATATAATAGGTTTCCTTTGTAATCATTTCAAATATTCTGGGAAGAGGTCCATGGGTGTCACCTTCTAAAAGGATCTTCCAAAAGAGACACAAAAAAGGTAACAAACCCCTGGTCTAAAGGGATTAGGACTATTTTGCCTGTAAAATAGAGAAGTTTGGTCTTTAGACCTTTGGTCTGTTTTCTCTTCAAGACTCTCACCTTTAGAGGCTTCATCCGTTGTCGTGGCTTCTGCATGCACTTCTTTGCTCACACCTAGTTGCCAAACTGGTCAGATGAACTCAGTCATTCTTTGAGATTGAGATTGGATAAGGTCTGCCTCCAGTGGAGTGCTGAAGCTTTAGGGTGGGTTTGGGGCTTATGCCCGGGATACTACATTAAGGTGACCCACCATGAGAGTCCAAAAGAAAGAGTCTCAGTTTCCCTGCAGAAGCAAGAAGTAGATATATTTCTTGAGATTCTTTAAGGAAGAGAAACGTAAAAATTGTAGCTTTTGGGATAACTTCTCCTTATCTTTCTGCAATTAGGGGCCTGAGGCATATCCCCATTTTTTCCCTTCTGTTCCTACTCTCTTATAGCTGCACATTCAAGCTTATACTGTTTCTCTACTACTGGAACATTCTCTTAGATTCAATTCACAGAATTTGAGGGTTGGACGGGACTCAGCAGCCATCTAGTCCTCAACTCCTATGTGAAAAGAAGACTCTTTACGAAAATATATCCAGCAAGTCATTTTTCAGTCCCTGCTTGAAGATTGCCAAGGAGAAGGCCCACCACCTCTTGAGGCAACCCATTCCCCTTTTGGACCCCTTGAATTGTTAGCAAGTTTTCCCAGATATCAAGCCTTAAATACACTTCTCTAGCTTTATACCCGTTACTCCTGGTCCTGCTCTCTGAGGCCTAAAAGAAAAAGTCTCATCCCTTTTCCACATGAAAGCCCTCCAAATTCTTAAGACAGCTGTCATGCCCCAGATCCATTTTTTTCTTCAGCTTAAATATGCCCAGGTTTTTCAGCCTATCCTCATATATCATGGACTCAAGGCCTATCACTGTCTTGGTGGCCTTCCTCTAGACACTCTCCAGTTTGTCAGCATCTTGAACCATGGTACCTAGAACTGACCATACTCCCTGTTGCTGGAAGCAGTGCCCCTCTTCATGCAGCCCAGGATCACATTAGCATTTTTGATTGCCATTTCACATTGCTGACTCACACTGAGCTTGCAATCTATTAAAACTCTCAGATCTCTTCCAGAACAACTATCTATCCATGCTTCATCTTATGAAGATGATTTTTTTATACACAAGTGCAATACTTTCCATTTATTCCTATTGAATTTTACCTTATTATATTCATTCCAATGCTCAAGCCTGTTGAGATCCTTTTGGATACTTTGTTATCCAGTGTATTACTTATCCCTCCCAGCTTTGGGTCATCTGCACATTGATGGACATAGCATCCGTAGTAGTTATCTAAGTCATTATTTAAAATGTCAAAGGGAGCCAAGCACAAATCCCTTGGGCGCTCCATTGTTGACCACCTGCCATATTGTCATTGAACTGTTAACAACTACTCTCTGTTTCATGCAACCGGTTCTGAATCCATCTGATTATATGATCATCTAGTCTAGACCAGATCTCTCCCATTTTTCCCACCAGAATATTATAAGATACTTTATGAAAAGCTTCACTAAAATTTAGGTAAACTGTGTTCCTGGAATTTTCCTCACTTACTTGTTTAGTAATTCTGTCAAAAAAAAAATGGAAATGAGGCTAATTTGTCATGACCGATACTTGAAGCTGTGCCAGCATTTTGTAATCTCCATGTTCTTTTCTAGAAGATTGCCAGTCATCTCTTCAATGATCTCTCCTAGGATTTAATGAGGAACCCAGATCAAGCTCAACCTAAGTCAGTTTGCAGACTGTTCTCTTTCTTTTTTTTTTTTAATTAATAAATTGAGACATTATTTGCCCTCCTCCAATCTTGTGGTGCCTCATCCATTTTCCATGACCTTTCAGATATAACTGACAGTAGTGACATCTGATTACGATATCTGTCAATTCCTTCCAGAACCCAGTGATATAAGTTCATTTAAGCCATGTGACTTGAATTCACCAAGGGCACCTAGATGTTCCCCAACTAGCTCCTTATCTTGAGTATCAACCACTATTAGTCATTTCCCTCCTGTCATTTCCAATTGTAAAGAGAAAACTGAGAATTGAGGAGCTCTCTTCTCTTTATTGTTGATGACTGCCCAATCCAGCCCAAGCCAAGGTCCGGTCACATCTTGAGCTTTCACTCCCAATACCATAAACAACAAAAACTCTTTTTGTAGTCCTTACGCCCAAAGGGCATAGTTTGAAATCTGTTTAGCGCTCCCTACTCTTAATTTAGTCTTACAGAATGCCTTCCCCTTTAAAGTAGACTTAGGTCCTGTATGATACATACCATGCTTTGTCTGATCCTTTGGATCTGAAAGGCCAATGTGGAAATTGATTGGGACCGAGTGACAAATTAATGGCTCATCCAGTCTTGGAGAGGTAAAGGAGGCCTTTAAACGAAGCCGACTGATGTATTACTCACTGAATCCATACTCTCGTGGCCTAGCGCACCTCAGGCAGGACATCCCCACCTTCCCCCACCTATACCAAAAGGGGACAGTCTCCTTTTGTCCCGAGAAGCCACCATGATCATTAGCTCATCTCTCTTGACTTACTTCCTTGAATACACCTGCGTCATTACCTGGTTCAGCCTCTTCATCTTCTTACTGTAGTTTTGTCCTTTCCAGTCTAAAGATCATCCATCTAAAAAAAAGTCAAATAAAAATTAATTATGTCTACTATTGTCCGTTATCATTCCATCCAGCCTTTGTGAGGGTCCTTCCTTTGGTCCTCCTTGTTTCTGCAACAATTTTTTTTAAAAGACATTCAAATCCAGTTTCCAAGCAATTGGATTACTGTGGCCAGGAACATATACCCCAAGCCCTTAGTTACGTCATGTGCATGACTCAGTACTAAGGGGCTCTGCAGTCCTGCATACTTTCCCAAGTGGCCAAATGGTCCAACAGTCTGTCCTGTTCAGGAAACAATAGATACTTCCCTTCTTGCGATATGAGCCATTATGGGTCTCAACTGGGAATTGAAACCCAAGATAGATGAGAAGAAAGTAAGTCATTCTGGATGAGAAGTAATATTAGAGGATACAAGACAGACAACAGATCCCCCTCCAGAAATTCATCCTGAGACTCAGATAGCCTAGGACTCTGCCTCAAGATGTTATTTTAATACCCAGGCAAAAGAAAATGTGGTATTGACCCTTCCAAAGCTGTGAAATTTCTACTTCCTATGTTAAGCTTGTGGAACTTACAGGCAGTATGTATCACTCTCCAGCTACCTTCTAGTTTTTCTTCTAGCTGGTAAAAAAGTTCAAACCTATTTATCTTTTTTTTTTAAAGGTGACAGCCAAAGGATATGAACAGGCAGTTTTCAGACAAAGAAATCAAAGTTATCTATAGTCACATGAAAAAATGCTCTAAATCACTATTGATCAGAGAAGTGCACATTAAAACAACTTTGAGGTACCACCTCACACCTGTCAGAGTAGCTAATAAGACAAAAAAAAATGTTGGATGTTGGAGGGGATGTGGGAAAACTGAGACACTAATGCACTGTTGGTGGAGTTGTGAACTGATCCAACCATTCTGAATTTGGGGAATTTGGAACTGTGTCCAAAGGGCTATAAAACTATGCATACTCTTTGATCCAGCAATACCACTGCTTAGGTCTATATCCCAAAGACATCCAAAAAAAAAGAAAGGGAAAAGGACCTATTTGTACAAAATATTTCTAGCACCTCTTTTTGTTGGAAATTGGGGGAATGCCCATCAATTGGGGAATAGATAAACAAGCTGTGGTATATGATTATAATGGAATATTATTATTTTATAAGAAATGACAAGCAGGATGATTTCAGAAAAACCTGGAAAGACTTACATGAACTGATGCGTAGTGAAGTAAACATAACCAGCAGAATGTTGTGTACAGTAACAGCAGTATTGTTCAGTGAGGATCTCTGAATGACTTAGCTCAAGGGTTGGGGAAACTGCAGCCTTGAGACCACATGTGGCCTTCTAGGTCCTTGGGTGTGGCCTTTTGACTGAGTCCAAGTTTTCCAGAACAAGTCCTTCTATGAAGGGGATTTGTTCTGTAAAGTTTGGATTCAGTCAAAGAGCCACACTTGAGGACAAGGAGCATCACATGTGGCCTGGAGGCCAAGGGTTCCCCACCCCGACTTAGCTGTTCTCAATGATACAATGATCCAAGACAATCCCAAAGGACTAGTGGTGAAGCATACTATCTGCCTCCAGAGAAAGAACTGAGATTGATGTTTCCTCTGTATTAAGTCTAAATCTGCCTTTTCTCAACTTTCACTAATTGCTTCAGGTTCTTCCTTTGGGAGCCAAGTCAAATGAATCTAATTAATTTTCTTTTCCTTTCTTAATAATAATAGTTTTATTTCATTAAATATTTCCCAGGTACATTTAAAAAAATTTTAACATTAATTTTTTTTAAATTTGAGTTCCAATTTCACTCCCTCCCACCTTTCCCCTGTTACTTGAGAAGGCAAACAATAGGATACAGCTTATGCAAGAGAAGTCATGCAAAACATATAATCTAATTCATATGCCTCTCAACATTCCTTCAAATGCTTGAAACTATCACGTCTTCCCTTAAGTACCCACTTCTCCAGGTAAACAATCCCAGTCCCTTGGACCAGCCCTCATATATGACATGCTCTCAGGCCCTCCACCACCCTAGTTATCTTCTGGACACTCTCATTTATCAGTATCCTTCCTAAAACACAGTGCCCAGACCTGGGCACAGTCCTCAAGGTGCGGTCTGTCTGTCCAGGACAGAAGAGAGCAAAATGATCCTATTTTCAGTCCGGGTCTCTCTCTTATTTTGCCTAAGATTGAATTAGCATTTTTAGCTGCCACATTATACCAGGTCTAATTGCTGTCCAACAAGGATACTGTAAGGCTCAAATGAAATAGTCCTGATTCATATTTATATAGTATTTGCCAAGATCTTTGGCCACAACTCACAATAAATTTCAATATCTATGAAAGTGACTTTTCTCAGTCTTTTCTCCTCGAGCTCTCTGCAGCTTTGACACTGGTTTGACCTCTCCTCCTTGATACTCTCTTCTCTCCAGGTTTTTGGGACACCACTCTCTATCTCACTAGTCCTGTCAGTTTCCTTTGCTGGACCCTCCTCCAGATCATCCCTCAAACCATAGGTGTCCTTCAGGGTTCTGTCTCAGGCCCACTTCTCTTCTCTCTATACTACTTTATGTGGCTGTCTCATCAGCTCCCATGGATTGCATGACCGTCTTTATACTTAAGATTCTCAAATTTGCCTATCGTGCCCCAGCCTCTTTGGTGGCTTCTAATTTTGTATCTCCAACTGCCTTTCAGAGATCTCAAATTTGATGGCCAGTAGACATCTTAAACTCAACATGTCAAAACTGAACTCATTTTAGTTCCCTTTAAACAACACCTCACTACAGACTTCCCTATTATTTTAAAAAGCAGCACAACCCTCCTAGTCTCTCAGGCTTGCAACCTAGGTGTCCTCATTGTCTCTCATTCCCCATATCTTAGCTATTGCAAAGGCCTGTAGATTCCACCTTTGCAACGTCTCTCTAATATGCCCTCTTCTCTTCTCTGATACTACCACCAGTTGGGTGCAGGCCCTGTCACTTGGTTCACACCTGGACCATTGCAAGGAAGGCATCGTCATCATCATCATCAAGAAAGTTGGTTTGCTCACTTCCCTGGTGTGAAAGATATAGCCTTGAGCCTTAGACTCTGGCTGACTTTGGTTAGCTTCTCAGGGACATTAGCTCTTCTTCTGAACTGATCAAAGGAGCTTTTCCTTTGATTCTTTAATTTTTTCTGCTTTCTAAACCTCCTCTGATCATTGAATAGCAACTGGAGGCGTTGAGCCTCAAGGCCTCCTTGTTCCCTTAGCCTGCTTGCATCCTAGGGCTCAAGAATCTGCTGCACCCAGTCCCTAAAGACCTTGACCACCTTGGGCTGCTGTGGTCTCCTTACCTGGGTGCCTGAATCTGGCATCTGGCACCTCTCTTAAATCCTGTCTCTCACCTCCAAATTCTGTAGACATTGAGTGCATTACTAAGGCTTATTTATAAGGGAAGACAAAGAGAACATTTAATTAATTTAAAAATACTGCACTTGGGGTAAGGTAATTAGACGTGTTACAAAAGGAAGGACCCTTCCCCCCAGAACTTTCCTCTCCTAGGTTCCATCTTCTCCATATGTATCTTAAATATACCTATTTATATAAATGCTCTCTTCTTTGGAGTATACATACCCTGAGGGCAGGGACAGTTTTCACTTTTCACTGTGTCCAGAACTTAGTACAACAATACCTGGTGCATAGTAAATGCTTAATAAATGCCTGTTAATTGATTCTGGCAGTACACAAAAATGAGTCTTTCTCACGTGTGGAAACAAAGAGTGGGGGCAACAACTCCTCTAATTCAAAGTCTTCTCCCCAATTCAAGGAAATGCTGGCTCCCTATGTGATCACATAGGGACAAGTGATGTAGCATGTCTGATGCTTACCTGTATCTACTGAAACCACAATGGCTGGTAACATTAGAAGGGAAGTAAGTACTTAGTGTTTCGTGAACCATTCACAGGGTAGATTGTTGGGACGTTAAGCTACTTGGGACAGTATAGATATAGAAGAACACACAGATTCCTGGTGCCGAATCACGTGTTGTTATTGTTCATCCTTCATTTTTGAAGAAGACCAATAACATCGTGTGTGATGTCTTGACTTGCAGGTGAGTTGGATTTAAGTGAGGCTGAGTTGCCCAAAGTCATCAGCCTCACTTTCTCTTTCTGAGTCATTGCAATCTAGTGGCAGGATCAAACTTAAGGGGACTGGCGATGGTCCAGGATGCAGGAGATGACCTTGGTGTCTTCAATGCCTGGCCAAGCTCGAAGTGCTCCTCAGCATTTGCTTTAGCTGCCTTCGTGGACGTTGGAACAACTTGTTCTCATCTACCCCTTCTCCCTGGGGGAAGTCTTTACCTCTTAGAGTGTATGGAGTGTTCAGGAGGACTAGCACCTCTGGTGTGAGGGCTTGCTGAGATCTTTTCAGGGCTGTTCTCCCACCTTTGGTGTCCACCTTCCACCCAACTCTTAACTGTGGCTCCAAGAGTCTGTAGCACGTGCAGCAGCCACACCCCCATAAAACCATCTTGGCAGATGGGCTAAACCAGGGTAAGGGTAACCAACCAGACTCAAACAAGTCAGTGAGCTAGAGGAGTTAGGAGACTTACAACTAAAGAATTAACATAGTTCTGCCCTATTACTATTTCTAGCATCACAGGAATCTATTTATTTGGAGGAAATTGTTTTGGAGGTTAATATATATGTGGATATACACGTCTGTATGTGTGTGTCTATGTGTCTATATGTGTGTGTGGATATATACATATACACACATACATACTTTGTGGATAGTGTTCTCTCTCTATATATATTGGTTTATATGCCTATCTGTACATAACATATCTACATATATGTCTAGATAGATGTACTGCTCTCTATGTCTATATAGATAGAGAGAGAGAAGGATCAAAGGAGGCATAGGAATGCAGCTGGGGTTGGGATAATCAGATGATGGAAAATACAGAACTCATTTTTACTTTGCTTCTCTTTTGTCTGAAAAGTTGAATGATCTTTAGACTGAAGAAGATAGGAAAAAAA